AATTAGCCAGGCACGGTGGTGAGTGCCTATTATCCCAGCTGCTCAAGAGGCTGAGGCAGGAGGATCACTCGAGCCTAAAAGATGGAGGTTGCTGTGAGCTATGATGACAGTATGGCACTCTACCCAGGGTAGGAGAGTGAGACTCTGTCTCCAAAAAAAAAAAAGTTTCAGTCTCAGAGCAGTAGATGCTATTGTGCCAAGTGTCCCAATCCCTCAGCCCACTTTGAATTTCACCACAGCTGTAGTGCCAACTCAGAGTGCCAGGTGCCTTTCCTCCTCGGAGTTTTCTCCTGCAGAAGGTCACATAGCTCAGGACAAGCCCAGCTGGTGTTTCAGTTATCTGTTGCTGTGTAACAAACCACCTCCCGACTCACGAGATTAGGACAGTAATCATTTATTTACTGATGATTCTACAATTTGAAAGCTGGGTGGGTTTTAATCTATATGGCGTCAGCCAGGTTGGGAGTATTCAAGATGGCATCTCAGCTGGGCCAGTTCTGTGTGGTGTCTCCATGGGGCTAGCTTGGGCTTCTTCACAGCATGGGTCTCTAGGTACCTGGATTTGTTACACCATACCTGGCTTCTCCCAGAGTAAAAAGTAGAAGCTGCCAGGCCTTAGTATATGGGTTCAGAAATCACAGGAAGTCACATCTACCATATTTCACTGATCAAAGCAGTTCCAGCCCACCTTCAAGGGGAATAGACTCCACTTCCTGTTGGGGGGGGCAGTCCCTTAGCACGTGCAGATGGGAGAAGACGATAGTGACCATCTTTGGACAAAACCATCTATCACATCTAGCATAGATTAGAGGAGGGTAGGGATAAATTTTCCTGGGACCATCCTCTTTTCCTTTTTTTTTTTTTTTTTAGAGACAGGGCCTTGCTTTGTCACCCACCCTGGAGTGCAGTCGCCCAGTCATAGCTCTCTATAACCTTCAATTCCTGGGCTCAAGTGATCCTCCCATCTCAGCCTCTCAAGTAGTTGGGACTACAGGTGTGCACCACCATGTCTGGCTTTTTAATTTGTAAATGCAGGATCTTGCTATGTTGCCCAGGCTAGTCCCCAACTCCCAGGGTCAAGTGATTCACCTGCCCAGGCCTCCCAAAGTTCTGGGATGTCAAGGGTGAGCCACCATGCCTTGCATCCCAGGCCATTCCTAACAAATTGAGATTAGAATCAGTGGACAAATGCAGGTTTCTGTCCTGCAGAGGAACAAATGTGAGATGGGGTCTACAGGTTCTTTAGAGGAGCTTCAGCAGGACTGAGTCCTGGTTGCCCACTGTAGAACTAGCTTAAAAACATACCTTCACTGCATTTTCCTGTTTCTCCATCCTTATCTCTACATCTTCTGCTACCTCTCCTAACCATCTCCTGGTTCTAGCATCAGGCCTGCTTACCTGGGAAGCCAAACCAAGACATTCCATCACCTCACTTGAAAAAGCCCTTAGACTGAGGCCTGTAAAATGCTGCCTGTGGCTCCTGGGCTATTGAGTGATCCCATCCAGGAATAAATGTCAGAGGGCTTTGCACACGGGGACCCTGGGCCCTAGCATGAGGGCCACTGTGAGTAGAGGTATTCCTGAGGGGATCCTGGGGCGCTGGGAACTGCTGGGATGAGAGGCCCAGCTCGCCGGCTCCTCTGGGGGTGGGGAGAGATGCAGGCAGGGAGGTGGGGCTAATACAAAAGGGGTACAGATGATATTGCTCATGGGGTTGGGGAGAAATAAGACATGCTGTGTCCTGGTCCTGCCCTTTGGATCCAGGTGACTTGGCATGAGATGAGGTGACTCACCAGGCCACCTCAGCCTGAGACAAGGTCCCTCAGGATCATCCACCCAGCTTTGTTGAGACTTGCCTTCCTGGAACAAGCCTTGTCCCCTGATTTTGGCCTCTGCTCCAGGAACAGAGGGACTCAAATACCAAAGGGAAGGGCAGATTCATTTACCCTCCATTAGCAACCATGGAAAAGCTGAGCCCTTATCCATGCTGGGCCCTGGGGTAGGAATCCACAGTGAACAAACCACTCCTGGCTTCCTCTAGCCGCTCCCAGCCAGGGGACGGGTGTGCAACCAGGAGACAGGGAATGTGAACAGCATCACAGTAGCTTGGTCAGACTGAGGCAGGTGCTCTGGAGCACAGAGGGGCATCTGATAAGGGGCAGGTAATGGTGGAAGTCTTCTGGAAGAAGCTGAGGTCTGCATCTAATCCCAGCAGGTCTTACCCAGGAAAAAGAATGGAAGGGCATTGGGGCAGAGGAAACAGTGTGGGCAATGTGGAGGGAGACCAGACAGGGTTGGGGCAGGGGTGGAATAAAAGAGGAGGCTGGAGAGAGAAGTGGGGGGGCCAAGCAGAGGCAGGAGTCAGTATTAGGGGCAGGGAGACAAGCTATTGGAGCCCGTTCATTCATTCAGCCAGTGTGTGTGGAGCTCTTCCCAGGTGTGCCAGACCCTGTGCTGTTGCAGAGATCCAGGTGAGGATTGTGGTGGCCTGGACCAAGGTGATGGGGGCTAGGATGCATAGAACGGGCAGAGATGTTAGGGAGATGCTCTCACTGTTACACAAACATCCTAGCAATCTACAAATTGTCATCTGGCTCCTGGACCAGGTCCGCATGAATTTGGAAATGGAACCTACTATTTCAAGAAGGGAGAGCTGAATGGCCGAGCTGAGACCAAACCTCAGGGGCCACACCCAGAGCCCTGCAGCCCAGCCTGCCTGTCCTTCCTCACTGCTATGCTCTAGGCTCAGGAAAGCTTCAGATGCAATCGTGGTAATCTTGCCTGGCCCTTTCCAGTAAGGGGGAAAATCCAAACATCCAGGTCACATAGGAAGCTAGATACCCAGCTGGGCGCTGGGAGTTTTCCTCTGCTGTCTGCTGTCTCCTACTTCCATCAGACTTTGGCCCTCTGAGGATGTCTCCCTTATCAGAATGAAACTTCCAATGGGTATAATAAGGACCAGGAGTGTAAGTTAGCAAAGCTGTTCTGCTGCCACTTAGTTGTTTGAACTTGGGGGGAAAAATCCTGTATTTGTCTCTCTCATTTAAAGTGGGTAAATAATAATGCCTATCATAAGTATGGAAAGACATAAAGATTAAAGAGACATTAAGAGTCTTGAAATGCAAACAGGGCATGAATGCCCCAGCACAGACCGTGAAGAATGGTTAGAAATGACAGCATAAAAAATGGGCCTGGGGTGGCGCCTGGGGCTCAAAGGAGTGGGGTGCTGACCCCATATGCCGGAGGTGGCGGGTTCAAACCTAGCCCTGGCCAAAAACTGCAAAAAAAAAAAAAAAGAGCCTGTCAGTAAGCCCGGAATGCAGGACTTTGTCCTTTCACACATGCGGCATTCTGAGTGTCCAGAACAGAGCCTGGCACAGAGCGTTGATGGGACAGGTGCTGCTGGAGAGCAGGTGCTAACTTACCCTGAGGGCCAGAAGCCTTCTGGAGGGCAGGGCTGGGGGGCTGTGCGAACAGCATCCCCCAGAGTAGGCTCTGCCTCCACGCGAGAACCTCAGGGAGTCTGTAGGTTCTCTGACCCGGATTATCCATAAATCAGTGGCTTCAACAGAACCATGTCCCTGCCAGGGTCCTCTCCAGTGACTTCTAACCACCTGGGATCTGCTCACATGCCTCCTCCATCACCCCACCTCCCATTCACCCTCCAGCCCCCCAGCACTGTGCTGGGGTGCTCACCATGCCCCCATGGCACCCCTCCTCTGGCCCCCTCAGGAAGATGGGGCCTCTTTTGCTCCAGCTGCTGTCCCCCCACACACATCTTGCCAACTTTTACTCAGCTTGACTACACTTAGCCAGTGACCCACCAAGAAGACACGTCTGCCCCAACCTTCAGCTTGTGCTTCATCAGCCATGAGTACAACTCTGTGAAGCCATGCTGCAGTCTGACTGTGTGCCCTGAGAAAGTCACCCTCCCTGAGCCCTCACCTCAACTGTAGATAGCCCAGCAAGGGCTGCAGTGCTCAGAGCCAGGCTTGCTGGTCAAAGGGCTCCCTAAGATGGCCAAGTGCCAAATAAAGCTTATGGCACTGTTACTGAGGCTGAAAGGGTCTAACCCAGAACACGAATCTAAAAGGAGAGCGGGTGCAGGGAGAGAAAGGAGAGCTGGAGGGTTGGTATCAAGTAGTCTTGGAACTGGTTGGTAAATACATACGATCCTTCGTTAAACACACCCATGTCCTCATGAAAAATGTGGCTCACTCTTGAAATCACAGAACTTTTTCCCCCAGTGGATTCAAAAATTGTCCCATGTGGTGCTGGGTAGGAGGCCCTGAAATTGTCATAGAAGGGGTCAGTCCCCAAAGAGCTGGAGCCTGACAAAGCCTTCCTCAGTTTACACAGATGGAGACATTCTTTCCAGGCCACAGTGCCCACAGCCAGGCTCCCCCTGCCTCCAACCTACCCCCTGATCTCAGAAGGTCTGGTCTTCTCTGACATTTTCTGGTCCACCTATCTGGAGACAGGATCCCTTTCCAAGTTGTCATGGTGCACACAGCCACTGGGTCTTTCTCAAATCATCACAGTGGCAGAGGAAACAGACTCGCACTTGGATTTAGGCTCACCATTTTTACTGAGATTTTGCACAAGACAACCCTTTTGTCTATAAAAAGGGGATGGATACCCACCTCATAGGGCTGCTGCAAGGTCAAGTGAGTTCATTCATGTATTGCTGAGTGTGAAGCTTTTGGAACAGTGCCTGGCAAACTGGTGACATATGCTTGCCATCAACACCCGCCTCCTTCCCCCTCACTTGTCTAAGTCCTTCTTGGTCCGTGGACCCCTTCTGTGCTGTTCCTCCCCAATCCCTCCCTCTTAAGAGGCTGCCTCAGCTGCCGCTCTTCACCCTCTCCCCTTTTCCCTCCCAGACCACCCTAATCCTCTTGACTCCTGCCTGTCCTGAGTCCTCCCTGACCTGTGTCCCCCATTGCTCAGGGGCCACAGACCAGCCCTTCGTCACACCCCCCACATAGCACACACCAAGCTGGCCTATCCACCTCATGTTTTATTGTAAAAAATGTTAAAATAAATTACATTTGCCATCATTGCCAGTATGTACATACAGTGTGTGCCATTCAAGGACAGCCAACAAGCTCATTAAAACAATTCACAGAAAAATACAAGGTCACTCGCCTTCCCAGCCCCCTGCCAGGGCAGCAGGATCCACAATGGTCAGAGCAGGCGTCCTCAAACTATGGCCCGCAGGCAACCAAGGACATTTATCCAGCCTGCTGGGTGTTTTTGATGCTGCTGCCTACCCTGCTTAGCAGCCGACTCGTCCCAGGGCCCGCAGTCCGACCCTCCAACAGTCTGAGGGACAGTGAACTGGCCCACTGTTTAAAAAGTTTGAGGACCCCTGGGTTAGAGGGTAGGTTGGTGTGGACACAATGCCCAACAGTCTTCACATGTTTGGAGAGGGGTGGCCCCATCTGCCCCTACAGTGGAGGGAAGACAGCACAGCATCAGAGAGGGCCTTCGAAGCTGTGGTCACCTGCCCCTGCCCAGCATCCAGTCACCTTGACAGATTCCCCCACCCTTGGCTCATTTGCTGACCAGTGTCCCTCCACAGCTCTGCATGGGGACTTGGCCTGTGATGTCATGGCCTTAGCAGAGATCACCAGGGAAAGCCCATAGTGTGGACACTGGATGTCACGATGCTTAGGATCCTGTGCTTTAACCACTGGCTCTGAAGGCAACAACTGATTCCAAGTATATAAAAACAGCAGTTCATTTTTAAAAAATAACAAAAACATTCAGGACAGCAGGGCCGGGCCCAGGGTGAGCATCATGGAGACCCCAAGGACTTCGGCAGCAGCAAGGCTGCCCACCCTCAGTAGAAACACAGTCTGTGGACAGCTCCACATTATCTTTTGGTCCCCAACGCAAACCCTTTCCACACGCACATGCACACACATGCACACGCATGCACACACAATGAACAGTAGCTGGAGAGAAGAGCTTGATTCACATATTTGGCTGCTGCCCATTTGTGAGCCAACAGCAATTTGGCCTCACCCCACCCGGCCCGTGGGAGGGTGGGGAGGAAAGGGACAGTGAGGTCCTTGTTCTGGAGACATGGAAGGAGGAGAGAGCAGAATGGGGAGTGTGGGTCCTAAGACCAGGGGCTGGGCCACGCACTTCTACAGGGAGCCAGAAGGGTGAAGGCAGAAGAACCAGAGCTGGGCCTGTAGCTCCCTATCCACCAGCACCATGAGGCCCAACTTCTGGTGGGCCACGCTCTGCCACTCCCCTTCCTCTTACTACTCAGGGACAGTGGGGCAGAAAGCCTTGCATCTGCCATCACTTGGTCTGAGACAGGGAATAGGGCTCTGAGATAGGCAGACCTCATGGGGGGCTGGGACCCTGGGCCCACAATGGGCTTGTTCCAGGTCCTTCAAATCAGGACAGTTTCAGCCCCTGCCCACGATCTCCTCCCTTCCTCCTTCCCCAAGCAGTCTCCACCCTATTGCACTTGGCAGGACAGCCTTGCAGGTAGGCTCCCAAGAGGGATGGGGGACAGGTCCTGCTACTGCTGAGGCACTGAAATGCCCAGCCCCCATATCACAGTTCTATGTCCCCAAATACTTTAGAGCTCCAAAAGGCAGAACTGGGTCTGGCATATCCCATCTCTCTCTCCAAAATGTCTGGTTCAGTGCTAGGCCCACGCAAGTTGCTCAGTAATACTGGTGAACCCAAATAGCTGAGGCGTTGGCCTCAGAGAACCGTGACATTCAACCAAATGATGGGGCAAAGATCCATGCAGGCACAGGCCTCCTTGGGGTCAGTCCCGCCTGCCTGTCCCACCAGCCTGCAGATCTTCAAATCATCACATGCACCAGCCAAGCTCAGGACAGATGCCCCCACGGCCAGGGCACCACTCTGCAGCACAGAGGCCCTGTCCTAGGCGGCCGCCATTGCCATCAGTAGCATCTAGCTGGAGGGGATGAAGGTAAGAGGCCCCTGGCCCCCCACTCCCAGTTCCAGGCCTGCCCCCCACCAGGGGCCAGGGGTCGCGGCCATGACAGGACACCCTGGGTGAGGGGGAAGAAACCGTCGAAGGTGGAGTGGGGAGCCGGCCCCGCCTCATGTGCCTTTGGGGCTGTTCGCCTTATTATACTCGTTCATCAGCTGCTCGTATGGCACAGAGAGCTCGGACTCAGTGCTGGTGAAGGTGGACTCGTCTGAGGAGGGGAACTCGCCCAAGTTCAAGGGCACTTCAGCTTCAGGCCTCTGCTCGGGCCTCTCCTCCTCTGCCAAGTTGTCCTCCAGCGAGGACTTGGAGGTCTCCTCATCTGAGAGGCCGGCCTCCTCATTCACGAAGGTGATGTTGGCATTCTGGGAGATGAGTGGGTGGTAGTCCTGGGCGTCCCAGGGCTCTCCCTCCTCGCTGATGCGGTCCAGCTGGTTAATAAACACCTCAGAGGTGGGGGAGCCCTCCTCAGGGGTCCGTGTCACAGCCTCCTCGCTGGGTGTCTTCGACACATGGCCTTTGCTCCTCAGTGTCTGTGACACCTCTTCCAAGCTGGGTACCCGGTTCTTAGAGTAGACCACCAGGGGCACCAAGGAAGGAGGGATGGCTGGCAGCCCGCTGTCCTGAGTCCCCCGCCCCGGGCCCGGGCCCCTCTCCCCACCCCTGCTGGTCGTCTTCATGGCCTTCTTCCCAATCTGCTTGATGAGATCATTGTAGGTCTCCTCCTTCTTGGACAGAAAGCTAAAGATGTTGACGTCTTTGGAGGCCCCACTCCCTGCCACCTGCAGGGCTGTCCTGGAGTGGGGGGAGCTCTCAAAGGACTCCTTCCGCCGCCGCCGCCGCTTCTTAATGGCCTTGTGGACTTCCACAAACATGCTCACCTTCCAGTTGACAAAGAGAGACAGCCAGGCCAACCCCAGATAGATCCAGAGCTCCACAAAGTAGCGGTACAGGGCGTGGTAGTTGGCGCTGGGGTTCACACCTGAGAGGACAGGGAGGGTCAGCAGGGACCTGGAAATGTGCAACAGCCACACTGTGCTATCTGAGCAGGTGTCCTGAGGGCACGGAGGGGCCTGGTCTACCATCTGCACTGCCCCATCTTCCCTGATGGCCTGGGCCCTTCACTCACAGCCCCATCCCAACCACCACCCTGTCTCTGAGCCTCAGATTCCTCAACTACAAAAAAATCAGGACAATGACTTGAGGGAAACAAAAGGGACTTTGGGGAACTGGAGATGTAGCCTACACACAAGTCAAGAAACAGTTCACATAAGTAGTTGCCTTGCAATTGTCCCTAGCTGTTGTGTGTGTATGTTTTACACAGTTCAGTTAAAAACGGAATGGGTGGAAGAGAGAGGAGGGGGCTGCTGCATCCTCATCACAGCTGGGGATGGACTCACTGGTTTAACAGGAAATGAGGCTGGTGGTTGGGTCGAGATGACCCAGGCAGCAGAACCCTGAACCAACTTTATTCTCCTTGATGATCTGGTCTGTCTCCCTGCCTTCCTGTTCTGTCTTCCTGAGATGCAGCTCCCCCCCGGCCTGGAGGGCTCTGTCCACTCATCTCCCTCGTATGGCAAGGGAGCCTTCCTGGCTTACCCCTCAGAGTTCTGATGGTTCTGCTACACCCTGGGATTATTTGAGATTTCTTTTAAGACCTGACGCATATAATCACCCTGATTTGTACCCTGCCCCACTCCTGAGTGAACACAGAACAACTGGAGTGGGGATTGGAGAAAAGGGGCTGTCTCCCGGGTCATGTTAGAGGTTCCCGGGGGTAGGGGCTCTGTCAGAGGGGTGCTGTCCCTCTTGCCCAAGGCCCAGATCACAAGCAATGAGGACATGTACTAATATGGTCAGGCCCTGTCCTCAGTACTCATGTGTGGGATTTCTACCATCCTATGTGGTAGGCACTAGGATTTTCACCAATTTTACAGATGAGAAAAGTAAGGCAAAGGTCTGGGGTCTTGTTGGAGCTGAGGAAGTACAGTTAGATGATCTGCTGTACTCTCCTGATACAAAGGCTTCTCCTTAGCCTGCTCTGGGCCCTGAGGGCTACACAATGGCAGGACTGTGCCTCCTCTCAGGACAGCAAGCCCAGATCTGTCGGGGGCAGTGGAGTGTGCCTCCTTCCTGTTCAAGCTCCCCCCTCTTAGATTCCACATACAACGGGACACAAGGCTGGTGACCCGCCCCTGCCCTCTTGGGGAGGAGGAGGGGGTAGAGAACAGAGGCTCCTCAACGGAGGTTGAGGTCAACAAGGCCAAACAGGGTGTCAAGAAGATTAAGAACCAAGACACTGTGCAGGCCACAGGCACAAGTATGTGAGTGGCTGGGGCCAGCTGGTCACAGGCCTTCAGACAAAGGGGCCAAAGAATCTTATTGCCTCCCTGGATTAGCAGGGGCGGAGGATGAGGGAGGGCCAGGGCTGAAGGGGAGGACAGCCGGGCAGAAGGCCTCCCTTGTCTTTAAGCTGCTTGTGCCAAGCACAAAGCTCCAGGCCTCTGAGCTCCCTCAGTCATCCTGAAGGATGAGAGGAGGCTGGGACCAGGGCGGGATAGGGTGTGGGGAAGGGGCACTTGCTGGCCCGGGGTGACACAGGGTGACAAGCACAAACCCTGCAAGCTGAAGCCCTACTCCTAGTCCTCTAGGAGCCCAAGCTCAGGAATTAGGACAGAAAAGAGGAAGGGATCAGAGATTGAACAGAGAGAAAAGGAAGAGGGGAAATGCCATATCCAAGAAAGGGAGCAAGAGAGAAAAGAGTCTTCTGCATTACTCTGTGCCTTGGTTTTCTCTTGCCAGCAGCAGCGGTGGGTTGAGAACCCCGCTGGGTGGGAGAGTGCCCAGAACATGGAATGCCTTCCAAGGGTCCCCAGTAAGGGTCTGCTGAATTGGAATTAGAGACAGAAGGGGGAAGGTGGAGGGAAGAACTCACCTGCCACAAAGTCACCAAAGCCGATGGTGGAGATGGTGATGAAAGAGTAGTACAGGCCTTCGATGTAGTCCCACTCCTCGGTCACCATGAACACGAAGGGCGGGATCACCAGGTGGACCAGGACGCCCCACAGGATAAAGATGGCTGTGCACGTGATCTGCGCCTTCCGCTGACAGGGCAGCAGGAGGTCAAGTCAGACAGTAGTGGAGACTCAGGAGACCTAGCATGGCACCCACAGGGCTGGGAGGCAGCTGGGCACCGGGACTGGGAGGCTTCCCACTGGGAAAGGAGGAGGGAAAGGTGCTCCCAGCCCTCCCCAGGAGGGGAGAGAGCTCTGAAACTGCCTTCTTGCCGTCTGTCCCGACACCCCTGTCTAATTCTTAGAGCCTTCCCATCCTCCCCTTACCCATCATGGTCCCCCTACCTCTGCCCAGTGCCCAGGGTTGGGGACATACCAGGCTCACGCCTCTCTTAGTAAGGAACTGGCCCAGCCTCTTGGCACGTCCCCCGAAGAACTTGCCCAAGGCACTGATCCACGTAAGGCAGAGCGGCACCCCAAAGAGACCATAGAAGACGCAAAAGAGGCGACCGGCGGGGGTCTTGGGAGCCACATTGCCGTAGCCTGAGGAAGGAGAGAGTGAGGCCAAGAACAAAGCTGCAGCAGGAGGGGTGGCCCCTGATGGGCTGCTGCACCCACCACACACACAGAAAACCACCTCCCACCCCAGCTTAAGGCCAGTCCTCAGAGATCAATTGATACTGACCTAGTATCAGAACTTAAGTAATGATATTTCCCTTGATCACACCTTCCTCATGATTCTTTGTTTTTTGTTGTTGTTTTTTTTTTTTTTTGCAGTTTTTGGCCAGGGCTGGGTTTGAACCCACCACCTCCGGCATATGGGGCCGGCGCCCTACTCCTTTGAGCTACAGGCGCCACCATCATGATGATTTACAAAACAATTATTACAGTGTGGGCTGTCTTCTCAATTAACCTGGGAGCTCCCTGAAGGCAGGGGCTGCACCTCCACCATCCAGGTCTTCTACCAGTGCACATGGTACTGCTGTGCCAATGAGAAGGGGCCCCGCCCTGTGCCGATGCCCAGGGCTACTGTGGTAGCAGGTCTCAATTCCCTCTCTTCTGATGCAACTTCTTTATCAAGGGGGTATCCCGTCCAATCCTCCTCCATTTGACAGGGGGCTTTGACCATGGACGTGGTTGAGGGAGGCAGAAGTGACATGGGACAGGAGAGGTCCAAGAATCTGCTGCTTCTCCTGATTCCCCTGATACACTTGCTTTAGGGGTTTCCTTCCTGCCATACTGGGAGGTGCCTGAGACACAGGTGGAGGCCTTGTGCTTTTATCCCCAGCTGTGCTCTCAACCAGCAGCCAGCATCACTGACAGATCTGTGACAGGAGGGATCACCCCACCCAGTTGTCGTTTAACTATCACAACACTGGAGAGCTCAGGCAAGACCCAGCCAGCGGAGCCCAGGCAACCCACAGAATGGCGGAAGATAGCAAGTTGTGTTCTGAGCCACTAACTTCTGGGCTGGCTGGCTATGTGGCCACAGAGAGCCAGCATAGACACCTAGCTTGCTGAGTTAAGCATGGTCTGTGGGATTTGTGCAGTGAGCAGCCTGGACTGCCTAGGTCCCCTGTGAGGCTCTTCATATCAGTCCATGTCCTTGTTATGGACTCATGGAATTGTCTCCCAGGCATGGCTAGTCACCAAAGACTGACTGAATCCCCAGGAAGGTGTCAAAAGGACAGACTGAGGGGAAAGGTGGGGATGCGTAAATTCACACCTAGCAGTGCAATGCACACTATCCGGGTGACAGGCACACTTACAACTTTGACTCACACTGTACAAAAGCAACTCAAGTAACCAGAATGTCTGTACCCCCATCGTATTCTGAACTGGCTTGATTTTGCCCGGACGAGGCTGAATAATCAGAGCTGGATTCCTATCAAGTTCCAATGCACATGGAAGTGGGTATCTTCAAGGATGCAGAAGACTTACCAATGGTGGTGATGACGGTGGCTGCAAAAATCATTGCATTGGGCCAGTTCCAGTTGTTGAAGGTCTGGTTCCCTGTGATGGCCACGCCTTGTCCTGCAGCATCAGATACCACCTAAAGAGAGGAGAGAAAGACAGACAATAAAGGTCAGAGGTGAGGGCACGCAGATGCTTTCTGAGTGGCAGCACTGCATCAAACTCCTTATAAGCATTCTCATTTAATTATCACAATAACCAGGTGGCAGTTAGTGTCTCCATTTTTTAAAGGATCAGAGATGTTTTTGTCCAAGGTCACACAGCAGGTAAGGCCATGAACCCAGGAAATCTGGCTCCAAAGTTCATTCTTTCAGGGAGCCAGTGCTTCTCAATCTCACCAGCATACACCAGCACCAACTGGAGAGCTTGCTATGCACAGGCTGCTGGGGCTGACACCCCAGAGATTCTGAATCAGCATATCTGGGAAGGGGCATTTCTAATAAGCTCCCAGGTGATTGCTGATGCTTCTGGTCCAGGGAACTTTGAGAACTGCCGCACTAAATTATTCTGTCTCTCCAAAAAAGATGTGAAGCAGACAAAAAGGAGGTCCCCTACACCCCACTCAGCCCTCCACAAAGTGTTCTGCCTGTTCCTGTGAGGGATCTCCGTATACCCACTGGCCTGCTGAGGTCAGCTCAGTGCCTCCAGATCCATCCTCTGAGGGCGTGCAATTGGCAGGTTCCCTTGTGCCCGTGCTGAGGACTGTAACCTACCCTTTCCCCCAACAGGCTCTCGCTTCCCTCTCTTCCCTGTATCCCTTTTTCTCTCTGCCCTGGGCTCAGCAATTATCTGGGAAAAGATAGATCGGAATATATGACAGGGTGACTCAAAATTGTGCTACTAACCTACACAGAGATCCCAACAACTGGACTGTCGGTGAGAGGCCACCTGGGGACATTCACCAGGAAGCCCTGAGGAGAGGAGCTCCAGTAGTGCTGATAATGGCCAAACTGTTTCTATTTGGCGAGTCTCTGCCTCATCCTTCAACTCTGCCCACCACTTACCCCAACCTTCCAATGGGGTGTCATCGGCTGACACAGCCTGGACCCCAGAAGCCTCATTAGGTGGAGCGCTAAATCTGGAGTTTGAGTCCTGTCCCCAGGGAGGGCTCTAGGATGGGCCATCAGACTAGGCACTCAGGTTCCTTACAAAGATCAAGGCAAGGACGCAGGGAGCCGAGGCAGAGGCGTGAGGGCTACAACAGGAAGGAAATCCAAAGAACTTATTTCTAACCCATCCAAGGCAGGGCTGGAGCTTGATGGGGAAAAGGGGGAAGGGCAGGTTGTTCTGAGGAATGTGCAGTTCGCAGAGGCAGCGGCAGGCTCATGTAAATGGATCTGTGTACTCAGGGAAGAATTTTCCATGATGCCATGCTCGTCTGACAAAGCATCAGACCACACTGCTCACTGCTCGGCCTCCCCTGCATTTCCGGGGCCCCTCGGAGGCTTTGAAGGCTGCACAGAGCAGCCATGTGAAGGAGTGGGACAGTAACATCAGACTCTGCCCTCAGACAGAGAGAGCTCTGGCCAGTCAGGTCACTCAGACATGCAATAAACCACAGGACACTTAAACACTAACAAGCCAACAGGAGCGTTTACACAAATACTAAGGACCACCCAGTGGCTTTTTAGAAATATCAAGTCTATAAGGTCTGACAGTTAAGTTTGCAAATTCATCCTAGAAAAAGTGCCACACACACCTCATTGCTGAGTATCACTTATGGTCACCTTTGAGGTACTCCCCTTGGGAAGCTGTGCACTGACACCAGCTCCTAGTCCACCCTTCAAAGCAATTTTGGAACTCTTTTTCTAGAATGGCCATTAGAGTTGTCTTCTTCTAAGTCCTGACAATTCAGTTTGTGAACTCACTGTAGACGAGGTGCTACCTCATTGTTGACTATCACTACAGTCACCAGATGGCCAAGGGGAGCACTTTGAAGGGGACTACAGTGATATTTAGCAATGAGGGAGGTAGCTCTTGCTCTAGGATGAGTTCACGAGCTAAACTGCCTGACCTCATATGTTTGGAGCAAGAGAATGAGGAGGTGCTGTGACCTGGTGTGTTAACGTTAAACAGATGGTGGAGAGAACAGCACCTCTCAGCTCCCCTTGAGCTCCGACCTCTTATCTCAGATATTGGTCTTCAACTGGATGACCTCCAACAGATGAAAAGGGCACACGAGGACACCTTGAAATGGGAATGGACTGACCACAGATGACACAGTGGCACCATGGTCAGGTCATCCCCATGGAATCATGGGGAACAGGAAAATGTCAGAAGACAAGCTGTCCCTATTTTCACAAAAAGGAAAAGGGTGGACTCTAGAAACTTGGAAAACAAACCTGAACTCCTACAAACTTCTAAATGGGGAGAAGAGAATGCCTGGAACATTTAGAAGCACAAGCAGTAGGCACTAGAGGCTAGCACAGGTTCACCAAGACCTAGTCACGCTCAGCTGAGTGCATCTCCTTTTCCAAAGAGGCTGCACAGCCTTGAAGTTTTGTGGAATGCAGTAAATCTAGATATCAGCCAGGCAGCTAACAGATGGATTTAAAGATACTCATGTGGACAAGACAGAGATGTAGGGGGAAGAGAGGATTAATTAGGTCCATTCAAAGGCAGACAAACAACTCCAGGAAGTATTGATCACTATCAACCTAGACTAAGGTCTGCATTATCACGCCTGGCCTCTTCGATATTTTAATCAACAGCACACTGAAGACAGAGACAGCTTACCAATCCAATATGCAGAGGACGCAAAATTGGGGATGAGCATGAGACAGAAAGGTCGCTAAGACGTGGCAGTGATAGTACTGAGACTCTAAACCATCTGGACTAGAAACAGGGCCAAAATTAGTAAGTCATGAGTATCCTTTTAAATTTTCAAGTCTTCCACTCTGGATTGGAAAGACTACTGATGGGAGAAGAACGTCCTCGGTTTTTAGGTGACCATGAGCCAGCAAACACTTGGGTGGTGGCCAAAAGTAAATGCAATCCTGGGCCATGTTGTCAACTCCAGGCCCATTCAACTCCAGGGAAGGGAGGTAACAAGCCCGTTGTGCCCTGCAGGCATAGGGAGCACACTGGTCCCTTCCGGGTGTCAGAATTCACACAGTATGCTAACCAACCCGCCAAGGTCCAAGTGGGGATGGGGTGGCTTTTATGCATAATGAGCTATCTTACAATGGGCTACCCTTTGCAGCAATCAATAATCAATTTCTGTTAATGGAAAGTACTTAGGCCAGGGTACAACCACCTACCAGGGTGTTGGGGTGGCAGTGCTTTCTGGGTATGTTTGGAAATGCTGCCTGAGGGGGCATTGTATATGCCAGGCACTGTTCTAGGGGATAACATAGTGAATACACACAACCTCTATCCTCCCCACACGTTTATTCTAGTGTGTGAGGGGCTTATGCTGCTGGCATAAAGTGGACAGGGGCCAGAGGTGCCAAATGCCCAGTAATCCACAGGACAACCCCACCCAAACACAAACTCTGCTCCTCCAGAGACACACTAGCTTGCCAAAGGTAACCTGTGATTTGAAAATCATTTAGTGGGCGCTAAGGAGACATCAAACAAAAGAGGGTATTAAAGGCCAGGTACGGTGGCTTACACCAGTAATCCCAGCACTCTGGGAGGCGAAGGCAGGTCGATCACCTGAGCTCAGGAGTTTGAGTCCAGACTGAGCAAGAGTAAGACCCTGTCTAATAAATAGCCAGGCATTGTGGCAGGTCCCTATAGTCCCAGCTACTTAGGAGACTGAGGCAAGAGGATCACTTGAGCCGAAGAGTTTGAGGTTGCTATCAGATAAGACCCTAGGGCACTCTACTGAGGGCAATAAAGTGAGACTCTGTCTCAAAAACAAAACAAAACAAAAACCGAAAAAAAAAAAGAAAGGAAAAAAAGAGGGCATTAAGGTTGGGAGTGTGGTACGATGGAGAGCTGGGCTTCCTGCCCTGTCCTGCTGGTCATGTGCATGTCCAAGCAGCTCACTTGCCCCGTGATGTGACCTCTTTTATCTCTCCATGGTCATCTAGTTAAAGGCAGGTACATCCCAGGGGCCCCAGCTCCTTGGGGCCAGGAGTACCACCAATCCTTGAAAAGACCCAGTGGGAGCAATTACCCCCACTGGGCAGAGAGAGGTTACCTGGCAGAACTGGGCTACTAGTTTCAAGTCTCCAACTTTAAGTCTCCCCCTGCTCTGCCCACCCCTGGGCTCCCCAGCAGCAAGCTGGGGGGAGAGTCGTATTAGTAGCATCAGTGCTGTAGCACTCAGACCCCCCTTGCTGGGGCCTTTCTACATATATTACCTAAACAGCTCTTCCTAAGATTCTGTCGGTATTAGCAAGGGAGCTCAGGGAGTCAAGGTCCAGATGTGAACTTGGGGTGCCAGCTCCGAGTCGCCGAGGCTCTGGTGTGGATGCCTCACTGATCTTGGCTGGCATCACACAGGATGAGGATGCAGCCTTAACTGGTCTCCCAGAACAGAAGAGCTGACTGAGGGCTGAGGCCGCCGGTGGGTCATGGGGAGGGTCATGGGAGAGCTAGGCAAACACCCTTTTAGACGAGGCGTCCCGTCTTCGGGGTTAGGGAAACAGCTTACTCGGGAGGAGGTGGCCCCTGTTCACTTGCAGGATTCTTTAACTTGGCTCTCAAATTCACACAAGACAATATTTTCATTCTCTATATAAGCCTGGAGAATGAGGGGAGAAAAAGAGCCTGCACACAGCCCAGGCTCAGATCTTGTTTGAGGGCAGAATAGAATTCCCTGCCTCCCTCACCCTCATCATAAAGCAACTGTGATTTATTGAGGGCTTACTATGTGCCAAGTGCTATGGTAAGCATTTTATGTCCCTTAAGCTCATTTAACAAGGACAGAATCCTGCTGGGTAGACACTATCATTTTTTCCATTTTACAAATAAGAATTTGAGGCTTAGAGAGGTTAATCAGGTAGCCTGAGGTTGCAGTGCTAAAATCAATTAAGCCAGAACTAGAACCCAGGCCCATCTGGGTCCAAACTGCTATTATCCTATCCCCTGTTCCCATAAAGGCCACAGGAAGGAGGCCTGTGCATACTT